TTCTGTCCTGATTCCTCCCCAACACCCCATAACTGAACATCCAGGCTCTGACCGCGTGCTGACAGCAGGCCACGTGTGCGAAGCCATCGAACCAGCAGATCTCCCCAACTTCTCATGCTCGTGTCGTTGCCCGTGCGGGTACCAAGATGCATATCCACTGGCAAATCCTCATCCTGATCATTCCACTCCACCTGATTCAGCTGCCACTTTTGCTGGGGAGGACTGTGACAATAAGATATGTGACCCAAGACGACCGAATAGTAATCAGAGAGCAAGGAGCTGCTCTCACGTGCCGACGTTTGAAGTGGGAGTGGCCGCTGGTGTGGCTGGGGAGGTTCCACCAGCAACAGTGCGACACATTGCAGAAATTTCACGCCACACAGTTGCAGATCTACAGGTACTATTGCATCATGCAGTGAGTGGAACATAGAAATTCCTGGTTGCTTTTTATGAAATTTCTGTGTATTGACTTCTGTGTCCTGTGAGTTCAGTTCGCTTCTTTACTCACCTGTTTCCCGGCCTTTGCCCCTCTCCTTTCAGTCGATGGTGCGTGACATTGACCCTGTGACAGGGGCTGTTGAATTGCTGCATCTTGAGAAGACCTCTTTTATGGCTCTCCTTCCACGAATATCATATCTTAAGGTGCTGCTCTGTTCCATGTGCATTCCCCATTTGCTCCATACTACATGAGTGCAAGCGAGCGTTGCAAGCTTATTGCATATTTGTATTGTGAAACGTGCTGTAGTATTTCTGCGCATCCTCATGCATCTCACTACTCAAACACGCCATTTCTCTCCCTTTCATCATCTCCTGCATGTCTCCAGGTTGCCAGTCACGAAGCTGCCTTCCTGGATATCAAGAAGTGTGCTCGGCTGCTTGGCTCAGCCCAAGCTAGGAGTGTCGTGGAGCAATGCAATGGTAGTAGAGATAGTACCATTGGAGGAGCTGTGCTGCTGACTCAGGCTGAAAAAGGGTGTACAGTCATCACAAGGTAGGGACATACAATGCCACATCACACACACAATGGCAGCAATGAGCCGTGTCAATGTCTGATTCTGGTTCTGTTTACCTAAACCATTGTTGTGTGGCCGATTTCGTTCCTCCCTCGTATTGCAGAGACAGAGAGTTCGTGGTCCCCTCATTTCCTGCAGTGGAAGTGGATTCCACAGGTGCAGGTGATTCATTCATGGCAGGCCTCATTACAGGCCTGTGCTTAAATCGATCACTAGAGCAGGCAGTGCATATGGGCTCGTTCTTCGGGAGCATAGCAGTAGAGCAGGTTGGAGTGCCATTAGTAACACCACCAATTGTTGCTAGGTGGCAAGCAGAGTTTAATGTAGACACCTGTCACTAGTCTGATCTACATCCAATTGAGTGTACGTACTGGTAGAATGTTTTCTAACCCCTAGTAGTTTCTCGCGTTTGCTAGACCCAAAATCTCTCACAAGTCTTGATATTCCCGCGCTTATGTGGAAGCCTCTCGCTATTTCGACATTTGAATCGGACGGTGCAGAGCCCTGGAAGCCTCTCGTAGCCTCTAGTGTGAAGTTTCGACGGCCAGCTGCTGCTTGCGGCGCCAGGATCTGCTGGAAGCGTCTAGAAAGTTTCGTGATGGACGGACAGGGAAGACTTTCCCCAGCGGTTTGGGGCAATGGCAGAGCAACACTGACAAGCTCTTTCCCCCTCACACCAGCAGACATCTCAAATCTACAAATAGCTAAGCTTGAGATTGCTATCACAGATCTCAGTTTCCAACTGAGAAGATTGCCTGCACCTCAGCTCTGTTTTGCCAAGCCCTCTTTCAGCGCACACACAAAACTCCTTACGACTTAGACACAATGGCCGCGAAGGGGGAAGGTCCCGCTATTGGTATCGATCTCGGTACCACCTACAGCTGCGTCGGTGTGTGGCAGCACGATCGCGTTGAGATTATCGCCAACGACCAGGGTAACCGCACCACACCCTCCTATGTAGCCTTCACCGACTCGGAGCGTCTCATTGGCGATGCTGCGAAGAATCAAGTCGCCATGAACCCCATCAACACAGTCTTCGGTGAGTCTACATGAGCTTTCGGTGTTTTGCAGTTTGGCCTTGAATTGTATGATGATGAATGGTTGCAGGGATTTAACAATCAACTAATCTGTTTTGGCTCTTTCTACTGCGCAGATGCTAAGCGTTTGATCGGCCGTCGGTTCTCCGATGCTCCCGTTCAGAGCGACATCAAGCTGTGGCCGTTCAAGGTCACCTCAGGACCCGGCGAGAAGCCCATGATTGAGGTCCAGTACAAGGGCGAGACCAAGACCTTCGCTGCGGAGGAGATTTCTTCCATGGTCCTCATCAAGATGAAGGAGATCGCCGAGGCGTACCTCGGAAGCACCATCAAGAACGCCGTCGTCACCGTCCCTGCGTACTTCAACGACTCTCAACGACAAGCCACGAAGGATGCTGGTGTCATCGCCGGCCTGAACGTCCTCCGTATCATCAACGAGCCCACTGCCGCTGCCATCGCGTACGGTCTCGACAAGAAGGCCACCAGCACCGGCGAGAAGAACGTTCTTATCTTCGATCTCGGGGGAGGAACCTTCGATGTGTCCCTGCTGACAATCGAGGAGGGTATCTTCGAGGTGAAGTCCACTGCCGGTGACACTCATTTGGGCGGTGAGGACTTCGACAACCGTCTGGTGAACCATTTCGTCCAGGAGTTCAAGAGGAAGTATAAGAAAGACATCACCAACAACCCTAGGGCTCTTCGTCGTCTCCGTACCGCCTGCGAGCGCGCTAAGAGAACTCTCTCGTCCACGGCTCAGACCACCATTGAGATCGACTCGCTGTACGAGGGTATCGACTTCTACTCCACCATCACCCGTGCCAGATTCGAGGAGCTCAACATGGACATGTTCCGCAAGGTTAGTGTCTCTTTCCTCCCCGTCAAGTCAATTCTCCATCTACTGCCTGAATCTATGTTGATTTGAACTTACTGTGGTGTCCTGTTGTGATTTTTTCCCATTTTTCGAGCAATTTAACTCTCTTTGCTCTTGCTCTTGTGTTTCCAGTGCATGGAGCCAGTTGAGAAGTGCCTCAAGGACGCGAAGATGGACAAGGGTGCCATTCACGACGTGGTGCTGGTCGGCGGGTCTACGCGTATCCCCAAGGTGCAGCAGCTCCTGCAGGACTTCTTCAACGGCAAGGAGCTCTGCAAGAGCATCAACCCCGACGAGGCCGTCGCCTACGGTGCTGCCGTGCAGGCGGCTATTCTTAGCGGCGAGGGCAACGAGAAGGTCCAGGACCTGCTGCTGCTCGATGTAACTCCCCTGTCCCTGGGTCTGGAGACTGCTGGTGGTGTCATGACCGTTATTATTCCCAGGAATACCACGATCCCCACGAAGAAGGAGCAGGTGTTCTCTACCTTCTCCGACAACCAGCCTGGTGTGCTGATCCAGGTGTTCGAGGGTGAGCGCGCTAAGACCCGCGATAACCATCTGCTCGGCAAGTTCGAGCTGTCCGGCATCCCCCCTGCTCCTCGCGGTGTTCCCCAGATTACCGTCTGCTTCGACATTGACGCTAACGGTATCCTGAATGTCAGTGCTGAGGACAAGACCACCGGCCAGAAGAACAAGATCACGATTACCAACGACAAGGGTCGTCTCAGCAAGGACGAGATTGAGAAGATGGTTCAGGACGCGGAGAGGTACAAGGAGGACGACGAGCAGCACAAGAAGAAGGTTGAGGCGAAGAACTCCCTGGAGAACTACGCCTACAACATGCGCAACACCATCAAGGATGACAAGATCGCGAGCAAGCTTGCCTCTGACGACAGGAAGAAGATTGAGGACGCAGTGCAGTCAACCATTGACTGGCTCGACCAGAACCAGCTTGCGGAGGTTGATGAGTTCGAAGACAAGATGAAGGAGCTGGAGGGCATCTGCAACCCCATCATCGCCAGGATGTACCAGGGTGCGGGAGGTGCTCCTCCTGAGGCTGACATGGATGGCGCTGGTGCCGGATTTGGTGGCGGCGCTTCCGGTGGTGGTGGCTCGGCTGGGCCCAAGATCGAGGAGGTTGACTAATTTGGCCAACCTTGTTGATAGATCTGATAAACCCTGTATTGCATTCAAATTTTGAAGCTGAGTCACATTTCTCCTATCCCTGCTTGCACATCTCACAAGTGGATGTACACGAAACATGCGCTCATCAACATTAATGATTAACCTAGTAGGGTATGGTGAGAGCGTAGTATGACGTGACAAGCTGAAATCTCTGCAGCTCTTGCCGCTGTTGCTGAATACACACTTCTCCTACTCCCGCAACAGTGAATGTCAATTTGAAAGAGAATGTATGTGTTGACCAGCAGTGAATGTAAGATAATGCCTGCTTACAATACCACTTCTTTGTGTAAAATGTACTGTTCTAGCTACGTTGTGGCTTGTAATGCGGATAAACTGCAACGTTGAACTAGCAGACCAAGTCCTGTCTCCCTAGTCCCGACTGATGAGTCTGGCCGGCGGGAACACTTTTTGCTAGTTGGCCCGACCCCGTCTTTCCGGTTTTCTCGTCGCTATCTAGCCTCAGTCGATACTCTAAATACAGCCTACCTGTAACGGATCTGCGCAGCTTACCTATGGATGCTTACCACAGTCGCCCCCCCAGAAATCCTCTCCCCCTTCCCCCTTTCTTTTCCCTCTGGCGAAGGTTACGCGTCTTCCCAAGTCAAGTTACGATGGTTTGCTGCGGCGCCACGATCTGCTGGAAGAATCTAGTTGTGATCGGCGGGCAGGGGAACCCTCTCCTAGATTGGCGAATTGAGAAACGACCGTTGGCGGACTGAATTCACTTCCCGCCTCGCACCAGCAGACATCTCCAGATCTTAACTTCCAGCTGCTTTTACAGATATATAGTTCAGTTGAGGAATCTACTTAATCCGCAGCTTCTTTCCCATCCCACATAGGCTACTCGTTGAAGCATCTCCGTACTTCCTCACTCCTGCTTACACTCCCAGCAAAATGGCTTCTATCGGTGTCGATCTCGGTACTAGCTACAGCTGTGTCGCTGTGTGGAAGCAGGATCGCGTGGAGATAATCGCCAACGACCAGGGTAACCGCACCACCCCGTCGTATGTCGCCTTCACCGACTCGGAGCGTCTCATTGGCGATGCCGCGAAGAATCAAGCTGAAATGAACCCAGTCAACACCGTCTTCGGTGAGTCCACGCAAATATATGTGATTAACAGAGGCTCTTAGCTACTTCACTACTACGCAGATTCCAAGCGTTTGATTGGCCGTCGCTTTTCCGATGCTTCCGTTCGGAGCGACAAAAAGCTATGGCCATTTCAGGTCACCAAAGGCCTTGGAGACAAGCCCATGATTAAGGTCGAGTTCAAGGAAGAAACCAAAGTCTTTGCTCCCGAGGAGATTTCCTCCATGGTTCTCATCAAGATGAAGGAGATTGCCGAGGCGTACCATAAAAGCACCGTTAAGAATGCGGTCGTCACCGTACCTGCGTCCTTTAACGACTCCCAACGACAAGCCACGAAAGACGCTGGCGCAATCGCGGGCCTGAATGTCCTCCGTATCATCAACGAGCCCACTGCTGCTGCTATTGCGTACGGTCTCGCCAAGAAGGTCACCGGCTCTGGCGAAAAAAACGTTCTTATTTTCGACCTTGGCGGAGGTAGCTTGGATGTTCCACTTCTGACAATCAAGGAGGGTACTTTTGAGGTAAAAGTCCAGTGCAGGTGACACTCACTTGGGCGGTGAAGACTTCATCACCCGTTTGGTGAATTTCTGCGTTCAGGAGTTTAAGAGGAAGGACATGAGCAACGACCAGAAGGCTCTTCGTCGCCTCCGCACTGCCTGCGAGCGTGCCAAAAGAACCCTCTCGGATTCGACGCAGACGAGAATTGAGATTGACTCTCTGTTCGATCGTCAAGACTTCGACAACATTATCTCCCGTTTGAGATTCGAGGAGTTCAACATGGACTTGTTCCGCAAAGTTGGTTCCAAGTCGCTTACTTCACCCTTCCAGTTTAAAGAATACTGAATTGCATTCTTGGAAGTTCTGCTGAAATTTTAGGGACGCAAAGTCTCAAAGATTCTTCTGGTCTGAATACGTGATTCTTATTTTTTTTAGAAGGCAGTGCTAATGGTGTTTCCTTCTTTGCTAATTTGTGTACCTACAGTGCATGGAGCCGGTGGAGAAGTGCATCAAGGACTCGGGGTTGAGCAAGCATCAGATCCACGACGTGGTGCTCGTCGGTGGGTCCACACGTATCCCTAAGGTGCAGCTGCTCCTGGAGGAGTGTCTCAACGGCAAGGAGCTCTGCAAGAGCATCAACCCCGACGAGGCCGTCGCGTCCGGTGCGGCCGTGCAAGCGGCTATCCTCAGCGGCGAGAAGGTGCAGGACCTGGTGCTGCGCGATGTCACGCCTCTGTCCCTGGGTCTTGAATCTTCCGATGAGGTTAGAATGTTATCATTCGCAGGAACACCGCGATTACCACCAGAAAAGAGCAGGTGTTTTCCGGCAACCAGTCTGGTGCGTTGATCTAGGTGTTCGAGGGTGAGCTCCCCGAGACCGAAGATAACCGTCTGCTCGGCAAATTCGACTTGTCCAGCATCCCCCCTGCTCCTCAGATCACCGTTTGTTTCGACACTGACGCCGACGGTATCTTGAACGTCAGCATCGAGGACAAGACTACCAGCCAGAATAATAAGATCACGATTGACAAGGGCCGGCTGAACGAGGTCGAGATTGCGAAGATGGTTCAGGATGCGGAGAGGTACAATGCGGAGGACTTGCGGGACAAGAGGAAGGTGAAGGCAAAGGACTAGCTCATGACGTATACGTACGACATTAAAAACATGATGACGAGGGATGACACAATCACATGTGATCTCAACGCCAGGGACAGATATAAGATCGAGGATGCTGTCGAGATGACAATCGAGTGGCTCGCACGGACCCCGATGGCTGAGGCATATGAATATGAAGACAGGATGAAGTGGCTGCAAGGTATCTGCAGCCCTTTCATTGCAGTGATCTGATGTTCTAGAGAGCTGGACTCTGGGAGGCTGGAGGTGCTCCTCCTGAGGCGGACATAAATGGCGCTGGTGTTGGTTCTGACAGTGGTGCTTCGGGTCGGGTGGTCAGCTTGGCCCGAAGACCGAGGAGGACGACTAATTTAATAATCGTGTTGATTGTTGTTGTCAACACCTTTGCTGTAATCCTAACTGGATGTTTCAGCTTGCAAAAACCAAAAGTTAAAACCCACGGCCAACTCTCAGCCCTCTTTTGCTCATTAGCTTTGAAAATATAATTAAGACAACACACATCGTCACTGGTACAGTATCGTGTCTGTTTGAGCCTACCGTCATCGCCCGGATATAAGACATATATGTCTCATCTCGTACACGGGCAAAAATGCTTGAGTTATCTTGTAAACGGGATGGTTTAGGGTGTCTTATAAGTCTTATAAATGGATTTTCTTTTAAGTTGATTGTAACACTTGCAAAGTATGTAGAAAACACTCAGAGACCAGATTCATTGAAATAGGCCGACCTCGGTGGTGATGCATGCAGCGCCCACACTTGCCACGTGAGGGAGCTGCCATCGCTGGCAATATTCCTCTGTGCTGGCAACATCTAATGATGCTGCCAGCGTCGTTTTGCTGCCAGCAGCGCAGGGATGCTTCCAGAATGCTGATGGCAGCACGTTGGCAGTGTGAGGGCTGTCCTCTATGAAGAGATGCCTCGTAGAGGAGCGGCTCGGCACCTGTGGATGGGGCACTCTGGCTGGGGGGGGGTAGTCCGCCTCTCACTTCATTTGGTGCTCAAGGGTTTAGGAATACTCGTCTCAACCTTGCTCTCGGCAGACTTTCTAACCATGCGCAGCAAAGTACCCCCAGGCTCGTCCTCTCCTCGTCCTCACGTGCAGGTAAATAACTACGGGCGAATTAACTCGCCCGGCGATGACATTCGTGTAGCCTTGGCGAAGAACGCGAGCAAGGCGGGAAGTCCTACCGCGGCAACCGGTGCGAGCTTTGACGGGGACGACGGAGAAGAAGCAAACGGCGACGACGCCGAGGAGGATTGACCGCAGAACGGCCACGACGACAGCGCTTCGGGCGACGAATTAGGTCCTCCCGACATCGATGAGGACGAATGGTGGAATCGGCCGGTCGGGAGCGACCACGAGGTGGAAGAGTGGCGGGCTGGAGATTTGGACAACGACGAAGGTGAAAATGCGGGGAGAAGCTGCGGCCGTGGGCGTGGTTCAAGATGAAGAACGTCCCCAAGTGTGAGATTCCGGAAGGTAAGCGTAATGAATTCAACCGCGCTACTGCCGGATGAGCGTGCTCCAGTGTGCTGAAGCCCGTCTGTCCTTTGTGTGCCTGGCAGGAATCGTGGTCCAAGCACAGGACAACGGGTGGATGGACGAGAGCGCTGTGCAGACCTAGCTGTCCAAGGAGGTGCTGCCCCATCTGAACCCCCAGCGCGGCCAAAACGCGAGGCGTGCGATGCTGGTGTTGGACTCCTACCGCGATCACATCACCCAGACCATGCTTCAGTCGTACCGCACGCACAGCATCACCCCTGTAGTCATCCCAGCGGGTTGTACGAGCCAGATTCAACCCCTGGACGTCTCAATCAACCGGTGCTTCAAGGCTGCTGTGCGAGCGCGCTACGCCAGATGGTTCATGCGTGAGGGGATTCACCTGAAGACGAAGAAGGGTGAGTTGGTCCTTCATTTACGGTATTATTCCTATTCTGTTTCCTGTCCTTGTCTTAAACATGCTCCTTCATGTCCGTGTCTCTAACATCTCGCTGCCCCGTCCTCAAACCCACCCGCAGGGAACCTGCGGAGGCCGCCGCACCCCGTGGTGCTGTAGTGGATCGCGGAGGCTTAGGATCAAGTCCCCAAGCAGATCATCATCGACGCGTTCCGCCACTGTGGGATCTCGAGCAAGCTAGACGGAACGGAGAACCACCTTGCTCGAGGAGGCTGGACGGTGATGTCTCACATGCGCGCCAGGAGCACCACTGATGTCTCCGCGGACATGTCCCTTGGGGGGACCACAGGCGACAACACGCGCATGCTCGGTCGGGCTCTAGAGGAGGAGGAGGAGGAGGCAATGCAGGCGGAGGGCGTGCGGGAGGTGGCAGTGGCAACCGGCCTGGAGGTGCTGTACCAGGAGACCCCCAACTACCGCGGGGCGGCGGCCGAGGCTGACCGCATGATCGAGCCTAGGGAGACGGCTAGGCATGCCTGACGAGTGCCAAACCTAGGTGTAGAGCCTGTTGTTAGCGCAAGCGAGGAGGCGGTGACTGAGGGGGGTTAAGTAGAAGTAGAGATTCATGAATGTATGCATGTACCCCCCTAAAGTAAAGAAGGCTCGTTTAGAAGACACCCCCTTGTTTATAAGAAAACCCTTAAACCCCGGTTCTGATTATAAGACATATATGTCTTAACTCGTACACACAAATAGGTGTCGTATAAAAAGGCTAGCCGGTTTATAAGAGACACCCGTATAGTAGACAACCCCCGTCTACTGTCTTATATCCGGGTGATGACGGTATGGTTAATGAGGCTCTTGGCAAGACAGGAATTATTTACACACCATTCTGGCGTTAAAAATATCCTCTCCAGCAAATTGTTGCCTTTCAAGCTGGGTGATGGATCTTCAAGAGCACGCACTAGTGCCTTCGCCTACAACTGGAACTGGCTACTGACTTAACATCCATGGAGAGGGCCAAGGCAGGACAGAATGCATCATCACACTTATGTACACACTACCTCTCACTGTTGGACACCATTCTCTTAAGCCCATGATTGTCATTTTCCAGGCATGAAACTTTAACTTCCAGAGCGGACACCTGTGCTTCCAGTGAAGATATTATTTGGTCTTTTGCCAGCAACTCCGACTGGCAATTCATTCTGCAACCATGTACGGCAAGGGAAGGCAGATTGGCAAACAAGAGACAGATTGAGTGCCCATGTCCATGGAGCAGAAACAAGCAAACATGACAGGAAGCGAGTGCAGCTAGCTGCAAAAAAAATGCGGAAAATGGTTGCACAAGTGAGCACCATACAGTTGGGTCATGGCTCGCTCAAATCGCAGCTGAAGCCGCAGCAGCGCCCGCAACTCGTGTGATGACGATTCCCCCTTAGAAGCTGAACCACCCGCACCCCAACCCCACCGGAAACCACTCCATATGTCCTCCTGTGCCCCCAATCTCTGCCCCTTTGTTCCATTTCTCCCACCGTCACCTCTCGCACTCGACTCTTGCATTGTCAATCCCCCTCTGAAACTCCCATTTCTGTCATCCAGTCTTCTTGTATCCCATCCTGTCCCCCCCTCACCCTGCCTCGACATCTCCCCTGTTCTGCGCCCATCCATCTCTACACTGTCACCATCAGCCTGCTTATCATTGTCTCTGCACCTCCTCTCAAGCTCCTGCATAAAATGGCATCTCTCACTCCTGTCCTTCCCCCCTTCTCTTCCTCTCCCTCCTATTTCCCCCGCATCTCCCACAATCTCCCCACCATCCACAGCTGCCTTGCCAGATCGCCCACCAGGCAACCCCAATCCTCTGGAGCGGGCAGCATGACATGCTCCTCCTGACATGCCTGGGGTTGGAGAGAGCTCGTTCCATGTGAGCATGGGGGGTGTGACTGTATGGGGAGGAGAGGATGGAAGGGATGAACACCCGACAGGGTACTTCGATGTGGGAGACACAGCAGCTGTTGCGGATTCGTTTCCGGGATGCAGAGCAGTGACAGTGGGGACTATGGAGGCACTGGCTGTAAGGGCACTTGCTGAGGGTAGCATGAAAGATCGACACACTGATTCTATTGCTGCTGCTTCAGTTGCCGAGCCTCCTCTCAGAGATGTTTCTGCTGGTGGTGCAGATACCCTTGACGGTGCAACCATGCGCAATCTTCCCTCCGAATTACCATTCCCGTGTATCTGCTGGTGCATGGCAGAGGCCAGCTTGCCTCTACTCCCATCAGCCTCTGAAACATCACCCTCTGCTGCCTGACAGGATCCATTCATTCCCTCTCCCCATCTCCCCACTCCCTCCCTCTCCACACCCCCCTCACCCTCTCGTTGACCAATCCTTCCCGAGTCACTCCAAACAGCGTCCTCCCTAACTTCATAACCCCTTCCTCCCATCCTTCCATCCTCCTCCTCTTCCTCCTCCTCAAATCCCCCCTCTTCAAAGAATCCCACCACACCAGCGAACCCAGAGGCATGCCCCAACCCTCGGGATTCTGCCAGCACTGCCAGCAGCGACGGCTCAAAGTCAGAAGCATCAGAGGGAAAGGAATCAGCTGCTCCTGTCGTACAGTGATCCGTGGCAACTTCTCGTGGTACAGCCTTGCCTTGAATACAGCTTCGGCCTTCAATGCAGTGAGCTACGCCTGCAGTGCTATTCCGGTCAGCTGCTGCTGCTGCTGCTTTTGCCGCTGCTGCTGATGGTGGTGATGGTGCTGCTGATGCTGTTGCTGCGTCTGCTGCTGCTGTTGATAATGAGGATACCTGTATGCTAGATCCGATTTCCAAAGGGTGGTGCTCACATGCTGTAACGCACACTGCGCCTTCAGGTGACTGTTCAGGAGCTTGTTCAGGTGGTTCACATGCAGCCTCTCCATGCCACGCCACACCATTCCCCCCACTCACATCGTTTCTGTAGCTGCTACAGCCGTCACTCCTGACACCACTGCTGCCGCTACAGGTAGCACCTGTATCCTCTGAACCACCTGCTGCTGCTGGCATGCGCCTCCCATCTGTACCAACAGCAATAGCTGCTGTAGCCGCAGCTACCGTAACCACAGCTGATCCCTCCGCAACCGTGGTCACATCAGCAGCGCCTGCTGTTGCATCAGCATGTGGTGACGAAGATAGCCTGGCGAGTCGAGCTGCAATGGCAGCAACAGTGGGGGGTCTGCCTCTATACGTGGGAGTGGAGCCTGCTATAACGGGAGTAGAGCCTGCTGTGAACAAAGGGGTGGATGCCGCTAGCATGGGCGTCGCAAACGCCGAACCCGGCGTTCCCCAGTCGTTGTCCGAGCAGAGGGATAGGAACGAATCGGAACGCGGCGAGTCAAATGCACCGTCGTCATCAGACAGCGAATCACAGTGTGCCAGCTCAGCTGCCCCTTTGACAGCACGAGCAGAACCAGCCACAACCCTTACAGCAGTGACAGATGCAGCAGTCATGGAACCTGCAGGTGAGCCATCAGGTGCCATGGCAAGGGAAGTAGAAGCAGCAGCATTACCTGCTACCTGTCCCTGCTCTGCTACCTGCCCCTGCCCTGCTAGCTGCCCCCCCTCCATGACCCACTGCGCCACCCGTGGATCGTGTGCCTTCTGTGAGTGCTGCCCTTGCATCTGCTGCTGCCCCTGCTGCCGCTGCACCTGCCCCTGGTGCTGCTGCTGCTGCCCCTGGTGCTGCTGCTGCTGCCCCTGGTGCTGCTGCTGCTGCTGCTGCTGCTGCTGCTGCTGCTGCTGCTGCTGCTGCTGCTGTTGGTGCTGCTGGTGTGGCCTCGATTCAGTCCTATTCGCAGACGAAGTGGGGGGGTTGGCGGTGAGGGTAGGGGTGGGGCTGGTGATGGTGGTGGCGAGGGGATGATTTGCAGGGCGGGCAGGGGGAGACGAACCTGGGCGCTGATGGTACGAGGATGAGGGAATAGAGCGTGCGCCATGAGAGGATGGAAAATCAGATGGTAGGTGGGACGGTGGGTGGGATGGTGGGTGAGAAGGTGGATCGGATTGTAGGTGGGGTGGTGCGAGCGGTGGAGGATACATTGGAATGGCATGGCCTTGTTGGATCATGCGTGACTGTTGGAGAGACGAGGAGGTGGGATGATCGGATGATGGTGGGTGGGTTGGTGCGAGGGGTGGAGGGTACGTTGGAACGGCATGGCCTTGTTGAATCATGTGCGACTGTTGGAGAGACGATGAGGCAAGGGGCGAGGAGGAAGCACGGGAGGAGGAGGAGGATGATGGCACGTCAGGAATAGAGCACCCAGATTCCACCAAGCCAGCTCGAACACACAGGCACTCCACCTGGAACGAAAGGGCGGGGAGCAGGGAGGGTGTTGCTGGCAATGAGGTGTTGACAATGAGGTGCGGGCATTACCTCAGTCGTGACACCAAGCTTGGCAGCAGAGGTGGGTTGGATGATGGCGCGCACACACAGGCACTCCGCCTGGCGAGGGAGGGCAGGAAGGGCAGGAGGAAGGCGAGGGACGGGGGAACTGGGAACAGCATGTTGAAGACAGCTTGGCAGCCCCTTCGGCAGCAGGAATACCTTATGGCTTGTTGAAACTCGAAACCAGGGATACAACACGTGTGTCCCCCATGCCACCCGAGGTTTCAACAAGTCAGCGCCGGCACTTCACACCTGGTGAGGCAGGGCAGGGAGCAGAGGGGAGAGTCGGCAGTGGTGGCAGTGAGTTGCGGACAACACCTTGGCATTCAAGCTCTCAGGGGTGCCGCCGAGCCGGCACGCACACACAGGCACTCCAAGGTACGACCCTCCACGCGGAATTCACCCGTTCTCCACCCACCTGCCCTCCACACTTTCTTGCCTGCAGGGACGTGGCTGCAGCAGTCACAGACAGCAGCTCCATTCACCTTTTGAGACGACTCAAACCCCCCGAGTCAAGTCAACCCCTGACCCCCTGTCAAGTCAAACCCCCCAAGTCATACTCTAATCACCCTCGTGTCTATACCAAATTACGTCCCTCCCCCCGCCCTCAACACTCTCTTACCTGCAGGGACGCGGCAGCATCTCCATGATCCATCCATCGCTCTTTCGAGACGCCCCAACCCTCCGAATGAACTCAGCCCCTGTCTATAGCCATTTTGACCTCCCCTGACTACTTACCTGCAGGGACGCGGCAGCAGCAGTCACAGACAGCAGCTCCATCCACCTTTTGAGACACTTTAAACCCCTCACGTCAAGTCGGTCCCCATATTCTTACCTGCAGGGACGCGGCTGCAGCAGTCACGGAGAGCAGCTCCATCCACCTCTCAGCTGCCTGCTTGCTCTCCGCCGCCAGGTGGTGCGATCCCATTGGCCCGCGGATGTCTGTGGGGGAGCAAAGGAAGGCGGATTCAGATAAAGCACGTGAAACACGTGAAAGAGGTAGAAGGGAGGGAAGGCAAGCATACAGAAGAGAGATGGTTACCGAGTCAAGATTCAAAGAGAAAAGGGAAGGAAGCTGTGCAGAAGGAAGAGGAAGATCAGGAGGAAGAAGAAAATGAGGCAGAGGAAGGCTGGGAAGGTGACTCACAGAAGCAGGACCAGGTGGGGTGGTTGGCCGGGGAGCTGCACGTTGGGGTCAGGGAACAAGGAAGAGAAAGGCGAGACGGACGAGGCAGGGGTGGGAATGAAGAGGAAGATATTTGAGTCGACTCAAAAATTGACCAGGTGGGGTGGTTGGCCGGGAGCTGCACGTTGGGGTCAGGAAACAAGGACTAGAAGGGGAGACGGACGAGACAGGGAGGCGAATGAAGGGGAAGTGGGAGAGATGAAGTGCACGACCAGAAAACAGTTTGCAGAACGATTCTAGGAAAATCAAGGTGACTTACTGCACCACCCCGAGAACTACAGGTGAGGCAAGGGGACTGCAGAAGGGGTTAGGATGCAGCAAGAATTCACACCTCAGCACCCCCACACTCGCGTCCACCAATGCAATCGTGCCACGTAGGCGCGAATCTCCCTCCCTGATCTTATACAGCAGCCGTGGCGCGCCTCGATGCAGAATGAACCAGCGGCGCCGCCATTGGCGCAGCTGATCGCTGAGCTTCCACAGCTCCCCCTCTAGCGTCTGGCCTTCTAGAAGATGAGATTCCGCTAATCCGCGTGACTTGCGGAGGGAACAAGCAGCCATTGGAAATACCGTTAGAGAGTGGCTTTCGGAAACGGGGGTTATGAGCATCCGACGCTATGAGCATTCAAGGGTATCAGCATTCGAAGCCATCAGCATCAGAATTCAGCCTGGACTTCTGCCAGCAGAGATTCCGCTAATCCATCTGGTCTGAACGTTACGTGAAGTGTCGCTATGCGCACCAGAGCCGGTTGCTTACAACGACGTCACGGATCTCCGCAAGAAGGTCTAGATGCCGGGCTCGAATGTCCGCGGTTGCAATATTCTGAGATTCATCTGAATGCGCGTGTAACAAAGTCGACGAACAACATAATCAGGGACCGACGCAAAGACACACGTACGGGTGACGGATCGTCTTACTGCCGATGGACGGTCCTGCTAAGGTCGCTCGTGGGTCCTACTATCTCCGAATAAACTGAGTGTCGCCATCAAGAATGGCGAGGGTTGGAAAAATGCTTATGTGTGGTGAAGGAAGTCATAATGCGATGCAGTGCGTTTCTGAAGGTTGAATGTGCTGAAGCAGTGGGATCCACATCAGCTTCAAACGACACTGCTACCTGACCTGCCTGTCTGCGACGTCAAGTTACTGGAGAGAAATGACGGTGCAGCGCTTAACGAAGATTGATTAGATGAGCGACGATTGCGAAGAATTGGGAACGCCTGTGCTGTTTCGGCAAGATCGATGCGCGGAGCCCAACCGCCACTGCGAGCGAAGCCCATGAACAGAAACGGCTGGACACCGCTTGTAACACCAAATTCGTTACGGTATCTACTGCACACTGCGATCTCCCAATAATAACCGTATATTCGGTTTCACGACGCTCGCAACATGTCTAGCGAATATGATTGCAGGGGTGGGTGGTTCTGCATTCGCGAAACCTTTGTTCCAACAATTCCCCAGGTACACGCATTTAACAGCACAGCTACTTCCACCCTCATTACCACTGCCCTCACAGAGGCGAGCAGTAGGTACAGCCGATCGTTGCTTGCTGTTTCTTGCTACCGAAGGCTTGGCTTGCGTAATTCTATTCCGAAGGTTATGCGACGTGGCTGCTGGTAGCTCTCCGCAAGCACTCGTCCTCGTTTATCCGTACGGCACGTCATAAACGTTTAATCAGGATCTTTCCGCTCGTTGCGCTAGTTCGAGCGTCGCCGTCTTTCACGCATCGGCGGTAACGGTCACCATGCTCGGGCCGGACGTGCCGCATCGGGTGAATTCTGACGGCCACGACGAGGGTGGCTTCTCCTTCTTCGTAAGCCCCCGTCGACTGTCCTCAGCGGATGCTATTGTGACTTCTCTTGATCTTCACGTATTGGCCTTGCGATCTCAAGAGTAGAAGGGAATTTGGAGCGTTTCTTTCTCTCGCGATTCACTTTTTATTGTTGTTCTGCTTCTTGATTGCCTTTTTAGGGAGGAGCCAGCACCGCCGCCACCGCCAACACCACCACCACCGCAACCAGCACCAAGGTTACTGAACCTACTGCCGCCTCACTCCACCCATTCGCCGCCTTTTCCACCCCCAAACAACCCCCAGCCACGAAACTTAATGGCACCGCACCCAACACCGCTGCACCCATCACGACTTCGCACCTTTTCTGGCCTTCTGGGAAGAGCCAATCAGGCGCGTCCACGTCATCTCCTCCCTCTCCTCCCATGGTAGCTGCTGCGTCCGTGCCTCTGGAAAGAAGCAGAGAGACAGATGCAGGCGTCGCAAGCACTGGGGGAGCAGCAGGTGCTGCTGTTAACGGTGCTACAGCTGCAGCGGCGGCAACAGGAGGAGGAGCAACAGCAGCTGGTGCGAAAAGGCAGCCGCGGAAGAAGTTCATTCCGGAGCAGGGTTTGAGTCAGATGAGCTGGCGTAAGGCCAGCGCCGCTGCTGCCAATGATATAGCCCGTACGTGTGTGACGGTGGGTGCAAGTGGGTGAGTGTGGGTTCGAGTGGGTGACGAGGGGTGCAAGTGGGTGATTGTGGGTGCAAAGAGGTAAGGAAATAGTTCATTCCGGAGCAGGGTTTGAGTCAGATGAGCTGGCGTAAGGCCAGCGCCGCTGCTGCCAATGATATAGCCCGTACGTGTGTGATGGTGGGTGCGTGGGTGAGGATGGGTTCGAGTGGGTGACGGTGGGTGCAAGTGGGTGAGGTTGGGAGCAAGCTGTTCAGGGTGGCCATGAGTGTGTGGAGGGTATTCGCCCTCTTGCTCCCTCCCATCTGCCAGGGTACCGCATGCAGCACAAAAGTGCCATACATATGGAGAGCTCTCTCTGACCGTGTGGCCAGCTCAGCGCTGTTCGCTTTCTCTCCCAATCACCCTCTTGCTCTCTCCCATCTCCCAGGGCACCGCATGCAGCACCAAGGCGCTATACAGGTGGCAGCGGTTGCTTGCTCTCTCTTACCACGTGTGCGTGTGCTGCTTAACATTGTTCACTTTCCCTCCCATCACCCAGGCTACCGCATGCAGCACCAAGGCGCCATACGCATGTCGGAGGTGAAGCGGCACAAGAGGGAGGACGATGCATGGACCGTGGTGCGAGGCAGAGTCTACAACATCACACCCTACCTCGACTTCCACCCGGGAGGTGAGTCGTTGCTGCCATCTCTCTGTTCCCCCTCCTCCCCACCCCCTCCGTTCCCCCTTTGTTTGTTCTGATAAGTTCATTGACTATGACATGGCCCCTGTCTCCATGTGCGACTTTCCCTATCCTCTCCCCTCTCCCCCTCCCCCTCATGCTGTGACTGCAGGGAAGGCTATTCTAATGAAGGGCGCAGGCAAGGACTGCACAGCCCTCTTCAGTAAGCTCTTACTACCACAACCCTACGCCCTCTTCCCCCTCGTTCTCTTGTTTTCTCGCCATCTCCTTCTGTCCTTCCCTGTTACTCAGCTTCTGGCTTTTCTTGTTTCCCAACTGTCACGGCGAATTTGTAGATCTTGTGTCCGTAGCCTTGCCTTTTCTCTCTTTCTGCCCGTCTTGTCAGATTATTGCAATAGTAGCATAATCAGAGGCTGTTGCCCGCCGGGTAACAAACGCCCAAACAACACCACACATTAAGAGCCTAACCACATTACCCTCCCCCCCCCCCCACTTCTTCCCCACCCCCCCAAGCAGACAAGTACCGTGGGTGAATGCGGACTTCCTATGAGACCAATGCTCCCACTTATTGCCACCCACTCACTTTCAACCAACCTCATTCTCTCCTGTCCCCTCATCCCTCATCCCTCATCCCTCATCCCTCTTCCCTCCTCCACCAGACAAGTACCATGCATGGGTGAACGCGGAGTTCCTATTGGACCAATGCTTCCTGGGCATGCTCATTCCTCCCACAACCCCCCACCAGACAAGTACCATGCATGGGTGAATGCGGAGTTCCTATTGGACCAGTGCTTCCTGGGCATGCTCATTCCTGAAGACTGATGCCGAGGGAGGGGCAATGAACCAAGTGTCTCTCGTTTCTCCTCCACTGCCCTCCCTCCCACAACCCCCCACCAGACAAGTACCATGCATGGGTGAATGCGGAGTTCCTATTGGACCAGTGCTTCCTGGGCATGCTCATTCCAGATGACTGATGCTGGGGGTGATGCCTGCTCAACCGGATGTGCTACTATCGAAGCTGACTTAACCGTGCATGGGCTGAGATGAGATGACTAAGGAGGAAGGAAGGACTACCGGTGTTACAAGCATGCGCATTCCCGATGACTGGGACTGAGCGGGACACTCAAGCGAGCTTGCTTGCTCTACTTACGGTATTGCACTAATTGCTCCTGAAGCTGACTTGACTACACGTATGTGATATATGATGAGATGACAAAAGGATGGCCTGTGCTTTCTTTTACTGTATGACTTGTGATGGGATAGGCTCGGCAGTTAAACGGTGGTAACTGTATTATTGCGTCTGATCTGATGTGGTGGGTGGTTGAGATTCATTCATGAACGACTTGGAGAAACAAATGCTGCTGCAATTCAGTGCAACGGAGAGCGAAGGTGTTCGGCTGGTGGTTGAATCGTTGAATCGAACGTCAAAGCACACAACCATGTTTCTTGTTAGTTGCAGGAAAACAGATTACGGATTCCTTTTCCTGTTACGGTACACCCCGGGTACTAACGTATTGTGCTCCATAAGGGCTGGTTGGAAAATTACCGGTACCTGGAGATCCATTGCTAACAGGCACAACAAAACAAGTCTCCCAATGCTGAGTCGATTTCCTGTTGGTCAATAACATCACAGCTAGTTAGGAGTAGCGGTATGTGATGCAAAACCCGTCAAGGGGACACCTAGTCATCACATAGCTCCTGCTGTTGATACACGAAAATCACATGAATATCGTATAATGAAATGTAGCACTTGTGACAACGAAGGTCCACTTTTTATGTAAGATGGCTGGAAGGGTGGCTGGGAGGGTGGCTTTGCGGGTGGCTGGCTGGGATGTGCTGAGCGGAATTGGATGTGGCAACAGTAACTCCCCCTGCAGTGGCAGTCCCAGAAGGGACAGCAGGGGCAGCAGGCACAGCAGGGGCAGCAGGCACAGCAGGGGCAGCAGGCACAGCAGGGGCAGCAGGCACAGCAGGGGCAGCAGGCACAGCAGGTACAGCGGGCACAGCAGGAGTACTAGGTACAGCGGGCACTGCAGGAGTACTAGGTACAGCGGGCACTGCAGGAGTACTAGGTACAGCGGGCACTGCAGGAGTACTAGGTACAGCGGGCACTGCAGGAGTACTAGGTACAGCGGGCACTGCAGGAGTACTAGGTACAGCGGGCACTGCAGGAGTACTAGGTACAGCGGGCACTGCAGGAGTACTAGGTACAGCGGGCACTGCAGGAGTACTAGGTACAGCGGGCACTGCAGGAGTACTAGGTACAGCGGGCACTGCAGGAGTACTAGGTACAGCGGGCACTGCAGGAGTACTAGGTACAGCGGGCACTGCAGGAGTACTAGGTACAGCGGGCAGTGCAGGAGCGGCAGCAGCAGCATATCCAGTGAATGAGAATGAGAACCCCCTCGCTGCCTCTGCTTCTCGTGAAGCTTCGTGACGTGACTCACAGAAACCACCGCCACCGAATGTGTCCGCTGCAGGAGATGGTGCGAGTAGTGGGGGGATTGATTGTGTGGGCAACACCTGGGGAACTGAGACTGAAGGGAGCGGCTGGGAATGCGTGACTGAAGGGAGGGGTTGAATCTGTGTGGGGGAAGGGAGCAGCGGAGTTTGTGTGGGTGAAGGGACGGGCTCAGTCTTTGTGACTGTAGGGAGAGGCCTAGTCTGTGCGGGTGAAAGGATGGGCAGCCCATGTGTGACTGTAGAGGGAGGCGGAGTCTGTGTGACTGTAGAGGGAGGCGGTGTCTGTGTGACTGCAGACGAGCCAAGTGGCATCCCTACCCCTGGCAGCACGGTTGAATGCAGAGGAAAGGGCAGGTGAAGGGGCAGGTGAAGGGGCAAGTTAAGGGGCAGGGCAGCACCTGAGCCTTTCAGGTGTGGTGCAGTTGACCTGTAAGTCTGGGCTGCAGGCATGGCTGGGTGACTACTATGAGAGTTCTGAAAAGCACCCTGCCCTACTGCCGGGCTGTAAGCAGGGGCAGCAGATGCTGCATTTACTTGAGGCGCCTTAAATGCAGTTGACCTGAAAGGCGGGGCTGCAGGCATGGCAGGGTGACCATGAGAGTTATGAAAAGCACCTTGCCCTGCTGCCGGTATGGAATGAGAGGCGGCAGACACTGAACTTACTTGGGGCCGCAGAGCAGAGAGGCGGGCATGGGGTGAAGCGGAGACAGAGGGACCTTGAGGTTGGGACAGGCCCAGCTGCTGCTGCTGCTGCTGCTGCTGCTGTTGGGTGGGAGTAGAGGCGGTGCTAGAGATGGCGCTGCGAGTGGTACTCGGACTGGTGATGGGGGATATTGCAGCAGGAGGAGCAGGTGAGGCAGAGACGGCGGGGTTTGTTGAGGGGCTGAGCAGTGACGGTGGCTGGGTCAGGCTCGGCTGCTGCTGCTGCGGCTGTTGCTGTTGGGTGGGAGCAGTGGTGGTTCTGTGAGTGGTGTTGGGAGCGGTGGAAGCAGGTACAGGTGCTTGGAGAAGGAGTGAGCGGAGGTGCGGAGTCTGAGATGAGAGAGGCTGGTGTATGGAGGCGGGAGGGGGATGAGAGGCACAGTTAGTGGTGGTGGGAGAGAAAGAGGATGAGAGGGAAAGAGGAGGCGCAGACGCGAGGAGGGAGGAGGGCTGAGAGGGACGAGGGAAGAAGGCGAGGGAGGATTGGTGATGCGGGAGAGGGGGCGGAACTGGAAGGTGCAGTGATGTGGTGGGAGCGGTGCAGGGCTTGACTGGGGTAGGGCTGACTGGGTTGACTTGGGTTGGGTTGACTGGTTCAGGACTGACTGGTGCAGGGCTGACTGGTGCAGGGTTGACTGGTGCAGGGTTGACTGGTGCAGGGTTGACTGGTGCAGGGTTGACTGGCGCAGGGTTGACTGGTGCAGGGTTGAATGGCGCAGGGTTGAATGGCGCAGGGTTGACTGGTGCAGGGTTGACTGGTGCAGGGTTGACTGGTGCAGGGTTGACTGGTGCAGGGTTGACTGGTGCAGGGTTGACTGGTGCAGGGTTGACTGGTGCAGGGTTGACTGGTGCAGGGTTGACTGGTGCAGGGTTGACTGGTGCAGGGTTGAATGGCGCAAGCACATGGAGTGGAGGAGTGGTTGTGTGAGGCTGAGATGTGGGGAGTGCTGAGTTGAACCTGGAGGGCTGCTGATGGGATTGCAATGGGGAGAGTGCTGCTGCTGCTTGCTGCTGATACGCATTGGCTGGGCTGGTAGCAGAAAGAGCGGGTTTGACTGGTGCAGAAGCATTGAGTGAAGCTGGGTTGAATGAGGACGGCTGCGGATGAGGAGACTGCAATGGGGTGAGCGCTGCTGCTGCTCCCTGCTGATGGGTATTGGCTGGAGTGGTAGCAGCAAGAGCAGGAGTGGTAGCAGCAAGAGCAGGAGTGGTAGCAGCAAGAGCAGGAGTGGTAGCAGCAAGAGCAGGAGTGGTAGCAGCAAGAGCAGGGGTGGTAGCAGCAAGAGCAGGAGTGGTAGCAGCAAGAGCAGGAGTGGTGGCAGCAAGAGTAGGGGTGGTAGCAGCAAGAGCAGGGGTGGTAGCAGCAAGAGCAGGGGTGGTGGCAGCAAGAGCAGGGGTGGTGGCAGCAAGAGCAGGAGCGGCAGAAGAAAGAGCAGGGGTGGTAACAGCAAGAGCAGGAGTGGTAGCAGCAAGAGCAGGAGTGGTAGCAGCAAGAGCAGGAGTGGTAGCAGCAAGAGCAGGGGTGGTAGCAGCAAGAGCAGGAGTGGTAGCAGCAAGAGCAGGAGTGGTAGCAGCAAGAGTAGGGGTGGTAGCAGCAAGAGCAGGGGTGGTAGCAGCAAGAGCAGGGGTGGTGGCAGCAAGAGCAGGGGTGGTGGCAGCAAGAGCAGGGGTGGTGGCAGCAAGAGCAGGGGTGGTGGCAGCAAGAGCAGGAGCAGCAGAAGAAAGACCAGGGGTGGTAGCAGCACGAGCAGGGGTGGTAGCAGCAAGAGCAGGGGTGGTAGCAGCAAGAGCAGGGGTGGTAGCAGCAAGAGCAGGACCGGCAGTAGCAACAGTGGAGGTGGCAGAAGCAATGGCAGGAGTAGCAGCAGCAAAAGCAGGAGTGGGGGCAGCAAGAGCTGGAGTGGCAGCAGCAACAGCCGGCCTCACAGCAGGTGCAGCAGCCAAACCAGGGGTAGCAGCAGGAGGAGCAGCAGTAGTAGCAATAGCAGCAGGAGAAGCAGCAAGAGGGGCAGCAGTAGCAGCTGGGGAAGCAGCAGGAGGAGCAGCAATACTGGCAGGAGGAGGAGCAGTGGCAGCAGAAGGAGTAGCAGGAGGAGCAGCAGTAGTGGCAGCAATAGCAGCAGGAGGAGCAGCAGTAGCAGCAGCAGCAGGAAGAGGAGCAGCAGTAGCAGCAGGAGGACCAACAGTAGTGGCAAGCGGGGCACGGACAGGGACGGGCAAAGCAGCAGCAGCAGCAGCAGCAGCAGGTGCAGGTGCGGGTGCAGGGGCATCTATAGCAGCCAGAGCCAGCATCTTCTTTTGCAGCCTCACACTCACTCGGGTCCCTGCCACCCCTGCTACCCCTCCTCCCCCTGCTCCCCCTGCCCCCCCTGCCCCCCCTTCTCCTCCTGCCCCCCCTGCTGCTCCTGCTGCACCTGCTCCCCCTGCTTCCCCCGAGCGTGGGTGAGGCAGTTGCTGCATACTGCTTACTGGCGGGGCAGCAGCAGAGGGCGGGGATGTGTCATTAGCAGCAAGTTGGTTTGGCGTTGCAGCAGCAGCAGCAGCCACAGCGGTAGGAGTGGTGGCAGCAGCAGGAAGGAGGATAGGCGTGGTGGCAGTGGCAGCAAGCAGGTTGCTGAGTCTAGTGGTGGGGCGAGTGGCGAGGCGAGAGCGAGTGTGGGAGGGGGGACGGGGTATTGGAGGGGTGGGTGCAGCAGCGGCAGCAGAGGCAGCAGCAGCAGCAGCAGGGGCAAGAGAAGCAGTAGCAAGGGAACTCAGCTCACGCATGGGTTCAGGGGCAGATGTAATGGCAGCAACGGGAGAAGCGGCAGCGGCAGCAACAGCTGGTGCCTTGCCTGTCAACAACACCAACCTCTCTTGCAGTGCGTGTGGGGAGGACAGAGGGGTGGAGGGAGGAAGAGAGAGCAGCGATGGAGCACCAACAGGAGCGGAGGAAGGAGGAGGAGGAGGAGGAGTCGGAAGGGGGGAAAATTGGGAGTTGTGGACGCGTGCAGGAAAGGAAGCTGGAAGGGCAGTACCCGAGGAGAAGAAGGTTTGAGCCAGAGACAAGGTCTCTGTTATAGCTGGTAGGGGGGTGGGTTGGGGTAGGAGGGTGAGAACGAAGGGGTTAGGCTTTGAGACGTCTCGAAGCGGGGTAGGCGAGGAGAAGAAGGCTTGTGCGAGCGACAAGGCCTCTGCGATCGCTGAAAGGGGTAGCGTGGGGTAGGAGGGTGAGATGAGAACGGAGGGGATTGTGTTGTGAGTACGCACGTGGTGGAGAGAGCAAGAAAATGGGAGACACTTGTAGAGCAACAAGCACACATAGAGATCTTGTTTCAGAACGTATGGAATGCTTCCCAACATGGTTCAGAGGGAGAGGGAGAACGAAATGCGCGAAATGCGCAGGGAGAGGAGGTCTTACCCAGGGGAAGCGGGCGTGTCGAGCTGCAGAGTGCGTGCTGAGGAGAGGGAGGCGCAGGGAGAGGAGGTCTTACCCAGGGGAAGCGCCTTCTGGCAAAGAATCGCTTCAGCAGCCAGCAGGCGAACGGGCGTGTATGGCTGCAGCGCATGCTGCGAGCGCAGCCCCTCCATTGGAGGAGCCGTGGACTGACAGAGCAAAGAGCGGGGCAGGGAAGGGAGGCCTTACCCTGGGGAAGGGTCTTCTGGAGGAGAATTGCCTCAGCAGCCAGCAGACGCACGGGCGTGTATGGCTGCAGCGCATGCTGAGAGCACAGCTCCTCCATTGGAGCGGCAGCAAGGCCGTCAGCAGGCAACCAGTCGGCCTCGGGAGGAAACAAGTCCACCTCCCCCCTACCTTGCCCTGTGTGTGCTGCTACTTCATCTGCTGCAGCCGTCCCCCCAGCCGTCCCCACTGCACCTGCTGCTGCCTCTGGAGGAAACAAGTCAACCTCCTCCCTGCCTTCCGTTGTGCGTGCTGCTACTTCATTTGCTGCCGCTGTCCCCCCAGCCGTCCCCCCAGCCGTCCCCCTAGCCGTCCCCACTGCACCTGCTGCTGCCTCGGGAGGAAACAGATCCACCTCGTCCTTCCTGCCCTCTCCTGTGTGTGCTGCTGCAAGCATGCAACCTTTGGCGTCCATCCCCTCGCTACCGAACCCCTGTGACTCTTTTCCCTTCCCATGCCGTTCCTCCACTGTTTCATGCGTCTCCTCACACGTCTCCTCACACGTCTCCTCACAGGTCTCCCTGTCACCACCCGTAGCTGCGCCTTCCATGCGTGCATGCATGCCCACGCCTTCCATGCTTGTATGCATGCCATCGCCTTCCATGCTTGTATGCATGCCATCGCCTTCCATGCTTGTATGCATGCCATCGCCTTCCATGCTTGTATGCATGCCATCGCCTTCCATGCTTGTATGCATGCCATCGCCTTCCATGCTTGTATGCATGCCATCGCCTTCCATGCTTGTATGCATGCCATCGCCTTCCATGCTTGTATGCATGCCATCGCCTTCCATGCTTGTATGCATGCCATCGCCTTCCATGCTTGTATGCATGCCATCGCCTTCCATGCTTGTATGCATGCCATCGCCTTCCATGCTTGTATGCATGCCATCGCCTCCACATGGAGCATGCATGGCAGCAGCACCCTCTTTCCCCCCAGTAACATCCGCTACATTCACAGCCACATTTGCCTCATCTGCCATGCGCCCATCTTCCCTCCCCATGCTTGTCCGCGAACCCTCTTCTGCTCTCTCTTCGCCTTCTGCCCTTTCCGTCCCTTGTGCATCTTCTGTGCCTCCTGTGCAGTCTATGCCCACTCGTGCCACTGCAGCAGCTTGTGCGGCGGCAGCTGCTGCTGCTGGGACAGGCGGTTTAGATTCTGAAGCTACAGCTACTGCCACACCTCTTGCTGCTGCCCGTGCCTCCTTCGCCTTCCCACCCCCGCCTCTGCTGCACCCCTCAGTCCTCTCGTCCCCCTTCCTCCTCTCCTCCTCTGCCTGCCCCACCTCTGCCTGCCCCACCTCTCCCTGCCCCGCCTCATCTTTTATCTTCCTCTTCTCCTCCGTCCCCCCTCCTTCCCATGCCATGTGCGTCCTGTCACCATCCACACCCATGCCCAGTGCCATACTACCATCCTTTCCCTCCATACCATTCATGCCCTTACCTCCTTCCATTCCCACCCCTCCTCGCCCACCCTCCAGCCCACTCACACCCTCCACCACCCTTTCCTCCCTTCCCTCCCCTTTGACAGACCTTGCACCCTCAACACCCTCCGCTACCATCTTGTCCCCCATATAAGCTTCTCCAACTACACCTACCATGTTTTCTGTCGCAGCTGCATCCTGCTCTCCCGTCCTCCCCTCCTCCTGCCCTCCTCTCCCTGTATCCTCAAAAGCCATGCTTCGGTGCTGCCCCTTTTGCTGCTCTGTCCCACGTGAGTGACCCACACCAGCTGCAGCATTATCACCGGCAGCAGTAACACCAGTGTCAACAGCAGTATCAGCTGCCAAACCAGCACTCTCCTTGCTCCCTATCTCTGCAACTCCTGCCTCTTCCTTCATCATTCCCTCCTTCTTGAGCCCTTCCAATCTGATAGCACCAGCAGCAGCAGCATGACTAGCAGTCTCAACAGCAGTATCAGCTGCCAAGCCAGCACCCTCCTCGCTCCCTATCTCTGCAACTCCTGCCTCGTCCCTCATCACTCTCTCCTCCTTGAGCCCTCCAGGTGCAATCACAGCTCCTGCTGTTGTTGCTGCTGCTGATTTGGCTGTCGCTCGTGGTGTTGATGTTGGTGCCGCGGACAAGGGCGGTGGCTCCAGTTGCCTTTCAGCGGTCAGAATCCCTGCCGCTGCTGCCATCATCGTTTCATCTGCTGCTGCTTCCCCAACCACCAACACAGCCCCTCCTCCTCCACATCTGCCCTCCTCACCCTCCCCTCCGTTTCGCTCATCCACTCTTTCTTCCCCCTCTCCTCCTAGTCCTCCCACATCCATCTCTCGCACCCCGACTTCCTCCATCAGAACACTCTTCCCGCTCATTCCCTCCCCTTCCACAACCTCCGCCTCTGCTACCTCGTGAGACGATTTCTTAGGCGCCTCAATAACAACTTTTGCCTCCACTGCCCCTCGAGTCAACTCAACCCTCCCCTCCTGCTCCCCCTCCGCACTTGTCAGCCCCTCCCCCTCCTCCCCACTCTTCACCTCCCCCTCCACCTCTGTGCCTTGCACCCGCTCATCCACCTCTGTGCCTTGCACCCGCTCATCCACCTCTGTGCCTTGCACCCGCTCATCCACCTCCTCTCCAACAGAAGCATCCCCACCATCAACCCACTCCCCCTGCGGTGCTCCCCCCTGCTCTGCTACCCCCTGTCCTTCTTCCCCCTGCCCTTCTCCCCCTTCTTCCCCTTCACCCCACTGCGCTGCTCCCTCCTGCCCCGCTTCCCCCTGCACAACCTGCCCTCCCCCCTGGTTGTTCACCCGATAGCTCTTGGCACGGTACCATCGAGCCCGCTGCCCCTTCTTGCGCCGCGACTTGCTCCCCCTGCCTGACTTGCCCGACTTGCTTGCCTTGTGGGACCTTGCATGCGGGCCGCTTCCTCCCCCAGGCCGTCCTTCCACTGCTTTCCGCTTGTGGGAGTGTTGCGGCAAAGGCCCTGATGCTGCAGCCGCAGCACTGGCAGCGGCATCGGACGCATTGACAGCAGAAGCGGTGGCTCGTTTGGATTGGAGAAGGGAGAGGGCGAGGGGGGTGCAGGGCCACGCCATGACAGTGACGTGGGAGGGGAGGGAGGAAGAGAGAGCGTAGGTGAGGCGGATGGAGAGATCGCTGCAGGGGTGGGGTGGGGTGGGGTGGGGATAGGGGAGCAGTGGGAACAAAAGGGGCAGGGGAAGGAATGCTTTAGGACAGAGGAGTGGAAAAGTCTGAAAAGCGAAAGCAGCAGCGGGATGAGCATGGAACAGTAAAGCTTCAGCAGACGCACTGAGAGCCTCACTATGAGTCTGGTTACCAGGTTACAAGCACACAGATGCCACCTCCTTACCAGGAAGCAGCAGTGAGGTAGAGGAGGGCGCGTGTGTGTGCAGGGTTGTGGTACAGCTGAAGCACATGCGCGCTGTGGGCCTCACAGGCCTGCTCTAACTGGTGGGTGCAAGGATGAACGGGAGGAAATGGATGGAGGATGAGAATGCAAGTCACTGAAGAAAGAGGGGCCTCCCAGGCCCGCTCTAGCTGGTGCGAGGAGAGAAGGAAGGGACGGAGAGAGATTGAGGCAGGGAGGAGAATGAATGTGCGAGTTGTCTGCTTCCTACACCTTAACTTTGAGAAATCTCACAAGTATCCCTTAGAAGTGATTTCCCTCTCCACCTCCTCACCCCACCTCTTCACCCCACCTCTTCACCCCACCTCTTCACCCCACCTCCTCACCCCACCTCTTCACCCCACCTCTTCACCCCACCTCCTCACCCCACCTCTTCACCCCACCTCCTCACCCCACCTCTTCACCCCACCTCCTCACCCCACCTCTTCACCCCACCTTCTCAACCCCACCCCTCGCCCCCCCAACTCACCTGCCCCCTTCGTGAGACGAAGGCATCAAGGAGACGAGCCAAATGTGATGCAAAGAGCTGTGGGGAGGGAAAGAATGGAGGTGGGTAGAAACGGGAGGACAGTAAGTTGCATTGCGACCAAGGCATTGAGGGGATGAGGCAGATGGGACGCAAAGAGCTGCGGGGGGAGAGGAGGAGAGAAGTGGGATGTCGGGAGAGGACAGGAGTGAAGTGGGTTGTACTGAGAGTAAAGTAAAGCATTCAGGAAACATGCTATAGGGAATGCAAAGAGCTGGTGGGAGAGCTTCAAAAGAGGAATTTGGAAAAGGAAGCACAACTGCAGGGAGGAGAAAGTGGCGGGATGAGAGGAGAAAATTCTCGCGTTCAGCTGATATTGAGGCAAGCATCAGGAGAGTGCGAATAACAACAAGAAGCAACACACACACAGCAGCAGCAGCAGCAAGCCAATCACAGGTTTGAGAGTCATGTAATATTTCCAATTGTTGTCCAACCAATAGCATCAGCCAGACCTCACCTCAGGCTGACGTGGCAGGAAGTCTTGCTCTAACTGGCTGATGGGAAGGAAGGGAGGCACGCTGGAGTCCACCAATCTCAGCCCGCCACGTGGCGCTTCAAGAACTCCCTCATGCGACTTGCCGTTGTCCTCTTTCTGATTGCCCTCGGCGTTGTCTGAGTGAGTGTGCTGTACAAAGCTGTGGTCTGCTGGGGTGTGCTGCGGTGGGGAGGTGTGGTCGTGGGTGTGGTGCAGGGAGCAGAAGAAGCTCTCTCTGGGTGTCCCTGTCACACAGGCGGGCAGAAAGGGGGACGGACAAGGAGGATGGACAGGGCAGAAAGGGGAAAGAACAGGGAGCACACTGCAATCTGGTACTGAGGCACAAGGCGTGAGGGGAGGGGAGGGGCAGGGAGGAGCAATGCATGAGGCCATGAGGCATGGACCATGGGGCTTGAGGGGCATGAGGATACTCACCCTGGAAAGAGGTGTCAACGCGCAGCAGCACGCGCTTTCCTTCCACCAGCACCATCGCCTGCCCTCGCCCCGTGAACCCCCCTGCCTGCCCTGTGAACCCACTACGGTGACACGGCCTGACCCTGCAATGAGATACTCACCCTGGAAAGAGGTGTCAATGCGTAGCAGTATGTGGCTGCCTTCCACCAGCACCACCGCCTGCCCTTGCCCCGTGAACCCCACCGTGCTCTGTGTGTCACCAGAATAGAGCACTCACCCTGGAAAGAGGTATCAATGCGCAGCAGCACGCGCCTCCCTTCCACCAGCACCACCGCCTGCCCTTGCCCCGTGAACCCCACCGCCCTCTGCCTGCCCTCCTCCTCCTTCCCTTCTCCCCCTCCTTGACTCACTCCTCCTGCTGCTCCTCCTCCTGCTGCTCCTCCTCCTGCTGCTCCTCCTGCTCCTGCTCCTCCTCCTCCTTCCTGTGCTCTTTCCCCCTCTTCGACTTTCACCTGAACAGCAGCCACTGCAGTGTGTACTTTCACCTGACTTTCACCTGAACAGAAAACAGGTATGGCTCCCCCCTCGCCCTCCCTCCCACCACTTCTCCTTTGCCGCACCTCCCTTTCCATCCCGTCGCCTCTCCTCTCCTCCCGCCCTACCTCCCTCTCTTGGTTCTCCAGCTCCCTTATCCTTTTGGTCGCATCAGCAACAGCAGCGTCCACATCAGCGCCAGCAGTGTCCACATCAGCAACACCAGTGTCCACATCAGCAACACCAGTGTCCACATCAGCAACAGCAGCGACCATATCAGCAGCAGCAGTGACTTCCAGTTCAGTCTTAGGTATTGAACCATTGATACTTCCAGATTCATCCATGGCAACACCAGCAGCACCAGCAGCAACAGACGCACCGGCAGTACCAGCACCAGCATCAGCAGAAACATCAGCACCCGGGGCTTCAACAGCAGCAGCAGCACCAACCGTTGATGTTGATTCTGCTTTCATCACCCCCTCTCGCGCCCCATCGACTAATGCTCGCACTCCTCCCATCTCCTCCCCTGCCCCAATATTTTCCCCTCCGCCAACCGCTTTCCCTTCGCCTTCTCCCCCAGTCTGCCCCTCGTCCCTTGCCTTCTTCTCCACGCACAGTGCGCCAAACCCCCCACCACTTCCCTTATCATCTACGGCAACATCCTGTACGGCAACATCCTGTACGGCAACATCCTGTACGGCAACATCCTGTACGGCAACATCCTGTACGGCAACATCAGAAACATCTCCAGCTGCCAGTGCCAGTGCATCTACTGCCCCTCTCCCAGCCTCTGCTGCTTCTCCTGCCAATCCTGCCCCGCTCTCTTCTCCCCCACTCACAGCCACATCCCTCTCCTTCCCCTCAACACACAGTGCACCAACCCCCTCACCGGTCCCCTTATGATCATCTCCCTTTTCAACACCCGTGTCAGCTCCCTTTTGAGGTGCATCCAAAACCCCTTCACCCATCCCCTTCACATCCCCTGCACCTGCATTCTCAGCTGCACCTGCACCTGCATTCTCAGCATTCCCCCCAGTTGTGCTCCCAACACCATTCTCCACAATTCCTCTGTCAGCACCCGCACCTGCACCACCGCTCCCTGCAGCTCCCCCAAGTGCTCCCCCAGGTGCTCCCCCAGGTGCTCCTTCAGGTGCTCCCCCAGGTGCTCCCTCAGGTGCTCCTTCAGGTGCTCCCCCAGGTGCAGCAGCATTGTCAACATCACCACTCGCGGCAGTGTGGGCGGAGGGAGGTGGGGGGGGAGAGGAGGGGAGGCGGGAGAGGAGGGCTGTCCACTGGTGGTTCAAACACATAGCAGGTGCTGTTGCTGATGCTGATGGTGCTGATGGTGTCGCTGATGCAGCTGTTGTTTCTGATGCTTCTGCTGCTCTTGCTTCTGATGCTTCTCTTGCAGCTTCTGCTGCTGCAGGTGGTGCCACTGGTGATGATCCCGCAATCTGACACAAGTCAGTGTGCTGGGAGTGCTGGTGGAATTCCGATTGCAGATGAGCCACACGAGCCATGAATGCACGCCTGCATGCGAGCCATGGGGTGTGGTGAGAGGAGCACATTCACACACAAACGAGAAACAAGAAAGGGGAAAGGGAAGGGGTGGGGGGAGGGGGTGCTGTGAGGAGGTTCTTTAGAGGAAGGAGAAAGGGGGGGAGGGAGAAAGCGTTAGAGAAGGGAATGACTCACCCCAGCAGCCTCTGGCGCAGCCTCATGTGCCTCTCTTGCAGCGCTGCCACTGCCATGTGATGCACACATGCCATGATACAACGCACAGATGCCACGTGGATTATGCCACGATATAACGCACAGATGCCACGTGGATTATGCCACGATATAACGCACAGATGCCACGCGGATTATGCCATGCCAAGCATACGACACACGGGAGAGAGCGCAGGGTGGGGGAGTGTAATGGTTTGGCCAAGGTACACGAAGAGTAGACGGACTGAGAGGACAGCTTGTTGACGCGTACAGCCCTTCACCGTTGCCTTTTGAGACGTCTCATAAGTAACCGTTTGGCCAAGGTACAAGAAGTGTAGAAGGACTGAGAGGGCAGCTCGTTTGACGTGCACAGCCCTTCACCGTTGCTGCAGTGCAAGTTGAAGGAGAGTGAGAGGGTGCAGGTTTAACGAGTGTCAAGCTGACTCAAACGCAAGAGCCAGTGGAGTGGAATGGAAGCAATGCAGCCACGGCTTCAACTGCCTCAGGCAGTACACGCAGTGCCATGCGTCAGTCCCCCCCCGTTCACTCACTCCGCATCTCCAGATCTTCTAAAGCGCCCGCCCCCACATCTTCCCCATCCACCTCCACCACCTCCTCCTCCCCATCCCCCTCTTCCCCCTCCCCTGCCCCCTGCATCCGCGCTTCCCACGCCTCTGCTGCTCCGCGCTTTTTCCTCCCCGCTATCCCGCTACCGACCAGGTGAAGCGGCCCCGCACAAGCTGGCTCTAGAGGCGCCTCAACCATCCTTAGGTGCTCCCCCCTCCTGTCGTCTGCTTGCAGAGGCCCCTCACGCGCCTCCAGGGCCGCTGCATGAGAGTTTGTAATATTGTGCGCGGCGGCGTTAGTTGCCACCTCGTTATTAGCCAGCTGGCTATTAGGAATTTCGCCCTCGGGCAGACCTCCTGTAACAGCAGCTGCCACGAACCTTCCTCGTGTTTTCTGGCGCCTTCCTGACCTAACGGCGGCGACCGCTAATCCGCCGCTAATTCCGCCGCCCGCTGCGGCGCCAGCGGCGCTGCTTACAGGACCTGCTGCTCCGATCACCGCGATTCCCGCCGCCATTCCAGCTGAAGGCGGATTTGGCGCTGCTTTTGCCGTCGTCATCCCGGACAATGGTGGCGTGGCGGCACCGCCAGTCGCGCCGCTCATCACGGCGACATGTGAGCTTCTGGCGGAGTGCGCGCGCGCGGCGGGCGCTAGGCGCGGCTTGGATCTAGCGGGAACGGCGCGCGGGCTGAGCGGCTCCTCGTCGTCGAACGCGACGCGCTTTAACTCGCGACCTCGGCTGCTACGCCTCGTAGCCTCCATCGTACTCGTTATGATCCGCTTCGATATAAGTGTCGCAATCGTTACATCGCTTACGTATAGCGGCTTGCCGTGGATTCAAGCCTCCTACCCTGTCGCAGCAACAGCAGAACGACTTGACGCGTACGCGCTCCGACGTAATGGCGTGTCACATGTTCGGATGGTCATGGTCTATCACAGTCACGGACCTCGGCTGATGTGCCTCATAGCCTCCATTGTACTCGTTAGTAGCAGGTTTAGAATCTGGAATGGAAGAAGAGAGCACTTTTTGAAGAGGACTTTCTAGTACTGTGACACTACAAAAAATCCGGCTCACACTCCACTGCTCATTTGCGGAGTGGAAGAAGAGAGCACTTTTTGAAGAGGACTTTCTAGTACTGTGACACTACAAAAAATCCGGCTCACACTCCACTGCTCATTTGCGGAGCGTTTACCGTGGTTGAGTAGGTTTCCTCGCGTTCGGGAATGGTTCCGGGGCCTAACCGCTATGAATGAGTTGATCAGGGATATGTCAACCATTGCGCACCGAAGTAAAACCAGCATGAATGTAAAAGAAAACTCTGTTCTCGACAGGCCTCTCGATATCAGGGTGATTCACCCTTATGACCCTTACTATAAGGGCGAGTTTGACTAATCACCCTTTTTTACAAGACTGGTTTTGTTATAGACCCTTACAAAAAAAAGTGATCGATTATACGACACTGATATTTCAGAGCTATGTGGTGTAGTAGCACTGATGAAATCGATTTCGATCTAAGAGAGGATACCAGGATTGGTCGCGTAAAACAAATATTCGCGTCGGACACCCGCGCTGGGTATCGAACCGGGTCCTCCACATAACTAAATGACTCAACACACTGCAACACTGTTACGAGTGCAATTGAGTGAACGAACGAGAATTGCACTATCGAAGCAAGAGTACAATGAGCGAAGGCATGAGCGAAGAATATATAGCGAAACTATAGTGGTAACGGTAATGGACTGTGGTTGTCGCGCGACGAGCCTGGGACTGAGGTTGGGAAATATGTCGATGCGTAGGCCCGGAGCGCGGGTTACCCACCGAGCCGTGAGGTCGGGGTGCGATGTGCGAAAGTGGCGGGATGATTGTTGATGCGATGGTCGCGAGTGGTAACGGTGCTGACTGAGGTGCTACAGTGATGTACGCGATGAGCAGGGATGCGAAGTAAGGAAAAGGGATTTTCCTTACACTACCCCCCCTCCTAAGGAGGTCCCTTTTACGAGAGTGCGTGGACATCCCTGAAGTTCCGGCTGCGCAGATACTCGGTGAGGACGGGGTGGTTTTCAATTTTGTCCAGGGGAACCCAGTTGTCCTCGGTGGGTGTACGATCTTTCCAGCGGATCAGAAACTCAACTTTTTGGGCTCCTCGAGGGTCGCGAACTCTGTGGCTCAAGATTTTTTCGGGGGTGATGACTGGTTCGGTTGGTGGTCGTGTCATGCTGGGTGGCCGATGTCGTGGGAGTTGGCTGGTGGATGGGACGTACGGGCGAAGTAGACTGACGTGGAACGAGGGGCTGACGTACCAGTCAGCAGGGAGGAGGAGGTGCGTAGTGACGGGTGTGATCATGTGGCTAATTCGAAACGGCCCACAGTATCGAGGGCGGAGTTTGGGAGTGATGGGCAGGCGGAGGTTTTGAGTGTCGAGTAACACGAGGTCGTCGGGCTAATAAGTGACGGGTCTGCGGTGGCGATCGGCGTTGCGTTTAGCGATGATATTTGATTTTTTAATTGCTTCTGCTGCCCTGGTCCGTGCTGCTTGCAGAATCTCGGCGAACTGTTGTGCGCGTGGAACGGGATTGTCGGGATTTGGTGTCATGGGTACTGTTGGGTCCTGTCCATAGTTCAAGTAAAATGGCGACTGTTGGGTCGTGGCGGATGGCGCGTTGTTGTACGCAAACTCGATGAGAGGCAACTGCTGTTCCCACGTGTTCGGATCGTCGCACGTGGCTCGAATCAGCTGCTCCATGGTCTGGTTTGTCCGTTCTGTCTGTCCGTCGGTTTCGGGGTGGTAGGATGAGCTGAATTGCAGTCGCGTGCCAAACTGCTGCCACAAGTTCCGCCAGAAGCTACTTGAAACTTCGTGTCTCTGTCGCTGATGATCGATGCTGGTATCCCGTGTAGTCGAACGACGGTCGAGGTGAAGAGGCGGGCTGTTTCCTCGGCTGTGATTGATTTTTTGCAGGCTGCGAAGTGTGCCATTCTCGCCAGTCGATCGACGACGACCAGGATCGCATCATTCCCACTCGCCCCGGCCGGTAACCCCGTGACGAAGTCCATCGTCACTTGCTGCCAAGCACGCTCTGGGGGTGGGATCGGCTGCAATTGTCCCGCCGGCCGCTTCCTGCTTGACTTCATGAGCTGGCAAGTGGGACACGATGCCACGTGTCGTTGCACGTCGGTCAACATTTCCGGCCAGTAGTAGTACCGCTGCAGCTGCTGCCATGTTTTTTCTACTCCGAAATGTCCCGAGGTAACTCCGTCGTGTGCTTCCTGTAATAGTAGTTCCCGTAGTAGCGTGTATCCTGGTACCCAGATGCGGTCGGTTCCAGCTTTTACGTAATAGACTCCCTTGGCTGCTGCGAATTGCTGTGAATTTACTCCTGTGAAGAACGGGTCTGTTTGATATCCGTGGGTAAATAGTCCTGTAAGTAATGGGCTGGTCTGGGTGAGTAGTATCGCGTGGATCTGGGCGGTGGGGCGGGTCAATGCGTGAGCGATATTCGAGGCTCCTTTTTTTATATGTGACCGTATAGTGGAGATTCGACTCGAGGAAGTCGAGCCACCGAATCTGTCGTGGGTTGAGGTGGGGCTGTGCGCGAAGGTACTGTAGGGATCGATGGTCTGTCCGTACTATCACGTCTGCGCCGGTCAAGTAGCAGCGCCACACTTTGAATGCATGCACGATCGCAAGCATTTCGCGGTCGTGTATCGGGTAATTTCGTTCAGGTGGATGGAGCTTGCGTGATTCGTAAGCGATGGGTTGGAGGCCGTTGCCGAAGTCCTGTAACAGTACAGCTCCGATGGCGATGTCGCTCGCGTCGGTAACCACTTCGAAGGGGCGGTGTGGGTCAGCGATGCGTAGGACGGGTGGTGAACAGAGAACATTTTTTAGGGCAGAGAAGGCAGCATGCTCTTTCTCCCCCCACGTAAACGGGACCCCCTTACGCAGTAAATCCGTGAGCGGGGCTGTTAAGCGTGCCATGTCAGGGACGAACCGACGAACGTAATTAACAAATCCTAAAAAACTCTGCAGTTCCGTGATGTTCGTCGGGGGACGCCATGTGAAACAAGTAAACAGGAATGAAATGACTAAGGAAAGATTGGGAACAAATACAACCCTAGAAACCCTGTACCCCATATGTGCTACCCCACTATAGCCTACAGCAAATATGTCATATAAATCTGACACACCCCCATAGGCAAAGTGGGGGAGAGCAAGGGGTCACAAGACCAGTCAAGTAAAGCAAAGCAGAGCAAGCTCAGGGTGGATCACAACGTCACCACACAGTCCGAGCACAAGAGCAGGGCCAGAGGCCAGTTCACATGCAGGAGTACAGACATATATATATAAAACTAGACAAGCAAGAGCAGGTATATATATGTCACAGTACAAGTAAAGTCAAGAGGAGAGCAAGTGAGGCAAGACAGACACAAGACCCAGCTGGGTGCAGAGGCGCTGATGGTCACAAGGCGCGAGTGCCTTGGTGAACACATCAGCAGTGTTGGCCTCAGAGGCCACGTACGCAAGCCGCAACTGTCCACGCTGCTGCAGCTCACGAGCAAGGAAGTAGCGAAGAGCAATGTGCTTCGTTCTGTGCTCCAGACGCTGCTCTCGACACAAGGCCAGCATGGCCTTGTTGTCTACGTACAGCACTGGAGGAGAACGAGGTGGCTCTCCAAGGTCAGTCAGCAAGTAGGTGAGCCAGCGAAGCTCCTGTGCAGCCATGGCCCCAGCGTAGATCTCAGCCTCACAACTGGAGCTGAGAACCGAAGACGAGCGAGTAGCCCGCCAAGAGACAGAGCCGGAACCAAGACTGAAGGTGTAACCCTGTGACGACCGCTGCGTAGCCTGGTCGTCAGCCCAAGAAGCGTCCGCGTGCCCTGTAAGGACCACTGGACTGCGCCCTCCAAGCACTAGCCCCATGCCCGACGTACTGCACAGGTAGCGCAACACCCTCTTCGCTGCAGCCATGTGCTCTGGTCGGTGTCTCCCAGGAGCAACATAGCGTGCAAGAATGCTCAGAGGGTATGCAAGGTCAGGTCGTGTGCAGGTCATCAGGTACATGAGGCAGCCAACAAGCTCTGGGTACGGGCCACTCGACTCTACGGACTCATCCGAAGGCAGAGCTGAGAGCGAGTGGCGAGTAGACAGAGGAGTGGCCTGAGGCGAGGAGTACGTGAAGCCGAAGCGCTGAAGGACCTGCTGCACCATGTGTGACTGAGTCAAGGTAATGGTGCGGCGTGCTCTGTCCCGAGTGATCTGCAAGCCAAGGTAGCTGCGCAGTTCACCCAGGTCTGTGCACGTGTGTCTCTTCAGCAGCTCGGACTTCACGTAGGCGAGTCCAGCAGTGTCCGCTGTGGCAAAGACCAAGTCGTCGACGTACACGAGGATGTAGAACGGCGGCAGAGAAGTGTCGGTGCGCAGAAACAGCGACGGGTCAGCAGTAGAAGGAGCAAACCCAAGAGCCGCAAGTGTAGTCCTCAGTGTGTCGTGCCACTCACGCGGTGCCTGGCGGAG